GAGTTCGACTTTGACACAGAACATCGGGCTGGGACCATCCATAGAAATGCTGACGCCTTGTCAAGAAGACCGTGCCCGGAAGACTGTAAACATTGTCTCAGGGCCGAAGAAAAGGATGTGTTTGTTCGCAGAACTACAATCGTGGATGATCATTGGCAATCCGCTGAGGTTCAACAAGACCAGGAAAGGGATCCGGATTTGAAGCTTATCATCGATTGGAAGAAGAACGACCGTAAACCAACTTGGCAGGAAGTCGCCCAATATTCGCCGAATGTGAAATCGTACTGGGCCCAATGGAATTCCATCATCCTAAGTGACGGGCTTCTAAAGCGCGTTTTGGAGATGCCAGAAGGGGGGGGAAGACCGGAAGCAGATAATAATCCCCAGAAACAGGATACCAGAAGTGCTGCAGGAAATCCATGATGGAACTACTGGAGGACATCTTGGGGTGACCAGGACGCTCGGAAGACTTAGGGAACGGTTTTATTGGGTCAACAGCCAACGGGATGTGAAGGAATGGTGCAAGAAGTGCGCCGTTTGCGCGGCAAGCAATGGACCCCAGAAGCGCCCAAAAGCCCCAATGCGACAGTACAATGTGGGTAGCCCATTTGAGAGAATTGCAATCGACGTGGCGGGTCCATTTCCGGAAACAGAATCTGGAAATAAATACATCATCGTTGTAATGGACTACTTCAGCAAGTGGGCGGAAGCGTACGCCTTGCCAAACCAGGAAGCTGCCACAGTGGCCGATGCCCTTATTAAGGAGTGGATTTGTCATTTTGGTGTGCCAATGGAGATGCATTCAGACCAAGGCAGGAACTTTGAATCTATATTGTTCCAGAATGTGTGTAAGATTCTTAACATTCGGAAGACGAGGACGACCGCATTACATCCGCAGTCTGATGGAATGGTGGAACGAATGAATCGAACGATAAACAGGTACCTTTCGAAGGTAGTCTCTGATCACCAAAGAGACTGGGACCGCTTCCTCCATCTGTTCCTGTTGGCGTACCGTTCTTCTATCCACGATACAACCGGCCAGACACCCGCTAGCATTGTTATGGGACGTGAACTTCGTTTACCTTGTGACCTGAGGTTTGGTTGCCTACCAGGGGAAGATATTGCTGGAGAAGATTACGTTAGCAATTTACGTAGGAAAATGAGCGACATTCACAGCCGAGTTCGTTTAAACATCCAGAGTGCCAGTGATAGAATGAAAGAGGCATATGACATCAAGGCGGAAAATGGAGGATTTCAACCTGGAGACCTAGTTTGGTTATACAACCCTCAGCGCCGTCGTGGTTATTCACCGAAGCTGCAGACTTCTTGGGAGGGACCATACGAAGTCATGGATCGAATAAATGACATCATCTACAGGATCAGGAAACAACCAAGAGGAAAGCCGAAAGTGATCCATTTCAACCGATTGGCCCCTTACGCTGGAAACAATGATCAAATAGACGATGCTAGAGTAAGGAGAGTTAATCCGCCGGAAGACGACTTGCCTTTTGAAGACTTCATGTATTTATATTCGAGCGGTAAAAAAGCTCGCTACGGTGTCACTAGAGAAGAGCAAAAAGATCTGTTCACGGTTTCGGCCGATTACTCCTTGGCTCACTGTGTTGCAGAAGACCTAAGGATGTCCAGGGGAATAGCGGTTGTCTTTAAAAACAAGTTTGGACGGGTCGACGAGCTACGAAGGCAGAATCCCAAAGTTGGAGAGGTGCTTGAAATTGTGAATAATGAGCAGAAAGGCAACAGAAGTATTTTCTATCTGGTAACGAAGCAGCTCTCCCATCAGAAGCCAAACTACCGTGACGTATGGAATGCCTTAAATAAATTGAGGGATGCCCTTTTATCCAAGGACATCATGAACCTGGCGATACCAAAGATTGCTTGTGGACTTGACGGTTTGGACTGGAGAATAATTAGAAGTATGGTGGAAGTTATCTTCAGATTTAGTGGCATACACATTCTTGTCTGTTGCCACAACCCTAAAAGAACAACCGGAAGGAAGACCGTAGACTGCTACTTCTATAGGACGTCACAATGCAAGTTTGGATCTCTATGCAAATATCGCCATGGAGCTGAGGACCATTTTCGGGACGAAAATGTTTTAAGACGGGGGCAATGTAGCGAGTACCGCCCTGGATATCGGAGTGATGACTCATCGCCGATTAGTCATTGCCGGTGAGTCATCGCCGGTGACTCAGCGCTCGAATAATCGAGAGTGTGGAGCTCGCTGGAATGTTCCAGAAGACCTTGGCGCTGTAATATATAAGGAACGACGCATCACAGAGCAGTTAGTTAAGATTTGGTACTCGCGGCGAAATAAATAAATATAAGTGCAAATAAATAAACTAGCAGTGATATAAATAATTAGTAGTTAAGTGTTTAGTTAGTTTTATAGTGTTTTAAGTGTAGTTAAGTTATTAAATAAATAGTTTAGTTCGTTAATTAACCAGTGCGTGTTTTAATTCACACTACGAACAGTGAAAAACGTTACAGTATTTAACATTTCGAATCGCGGCACGTTAGCGTGCCTCTAGTCATTGTGTAATCCGAACGGTAATATACCGACTGAGCCAATATAATCTTTTATCAGAGTTATCGACTTTAGTTGAGGTTAAATTATAAAAAATAAAGAGAGATTAAAAATTCAATGCAATATCAAATTCATTGTTTTATTTAATCTATTATAATTATTGAACTTTATTGAACACAAATAACTTTTTTTGATAGTAAATAAAATAAAATAGAAAAAAATTGAGATGTAAGTGTTATTTTCTTTCTATACGAAAAAAATATATTATTATATTTTTTCTTAAAATAACTTTTAAGACATAAAAAAAGTATTAGTTTAATAAAATAAAAGTCATAATTTCATACATTTTCAAGTTTGAATACCTTCAGAACGGCTTACTCTATGAAAAAATTAATTAGAACTTTTTTGTAGAGCGTTTAATTTCCTACCAAAATTAATTTTACAATGCTTAAATGTCAAGCTACAAAAATAAGAAAAAAGAATTTTTTTTCCATGTTATTTAAATGGAAAATGGAAAGTTAGGAACAGGCACCACTTAATGTTATTATTAAGAGCTCAAATTTTTAGAGGCTTCTTTTTTCACATTTCTGAAAGTTTTTAGTCTGTTTTTTAGTTGAAAAAAAAAAGTTGCTCAAAAATGACACACCCTAGCCGGTATACAAAATTAATTATTTAATATTTTTGTTAGATTAAAATTTTTATTTTGTTCAATAAATTGCTTTTTGATCAATAAAAAACTTTTTGTAAAAAAAATTATTTTTGTTAAAAAAAAATGCTTTAAAAAAAAATGCTCTTTATCAATAAAAATGCTTACCACATAGTGATGTTTTATTTATTAAACATTTTTATAAGAATTCTGTGTCAGAATTTTATTGAGATTAAGAACCGTACAAGTCCAAGTTTATTTTTTGTGTATAATAAAGCATGCACGTGGTAAAAAAAAATATTTTTAGTTTAATGGACGTCTAAACTCATACATCACAGCATTTCTATACTTTTAAACCTGAAAAAATCCTAATAAACAAAATAAACAGTTTACTTTGTTTTCTCAACATTTAAACATTTGGTCATGTACTGCAGAACATGTTCTTATTCTCAACGATTTAATTGTTAACTAGTAGAGCGTACAAAATTTGCTTCAAAATGAAGTGAAACTTAAATTTTAGCTGTTTTTCTGCAAAAGCGATCCTTGCTCAATTGGAGATTTCTTTTGATATCCGCGACACTTTTCTCTCTTTTAAATTTTGCATCTATGTTTTTAAATGTTGTTTTCGAAGTCACGGGTCTTTGCGGATACTTTTGAATAAACAAGCGCCTGGCGGCATAGGCATTTTATCATATTGATAGAAAACGAATTTTTCAAATTTGTGAATTTGACAGCATGCAAATTGAGTTGTGTTGCCATGGTAGCTGGCAAATCATAGCTTGCTTCTTTTTTAATTCTTATCTGATAGTAAGCGAACTGTTTTTATAATATAATTGTTATTTGTGAAGTAAATATTTAAGTGCTATATATATTTTTGAAACCATCTAACGAACTATAAAAAAAATCTTTTTTTGAACAGCCCTGTAAAAATTAATAGTATATTATGTATAAAGTTTGATAAACGCCATTTTATACACGAATTTAATTTAGGCACGAGTGAGCTTGCGAGCGAGTGCTTAAGTTAATGAGTGTATAGAAAAGTTTATAAACGAGGTGCATACTATATTTTTTCTACGAGAAATACTTATTAATATCTTAAAATGATTTAAATCAAACATTTGTATAGAGCGCCATCTATAAAACAACAGGGAAACTGTCAAATGTCACATTTTTACATTTTATAAACACAATTATAAAGGTTATAAATCGAAATGTATCTTGAAAATTGACAGTTTTTCACAGTGAAAGTAAAGGAAATGTTTTATAAGGACTTTACAGTAGAGTCCGTGCCCGAACTTAAGTTATAGTTTACTGCCGGCGAAATTAAAACGTCAGTACAATGTTCATATAAACTTTTCAAATATTGGCGTTAAGAAACTATTTAATATTTTTGTATTGAGTTAATAAAATAATTTTCCCATTTAGTATTATTTTACAAGAAAGACACTTTATTTTAACGATTGTATGACATTTGACAACTATCAACTAACTTAAAACTAACTTCAGCCCGTGACTAAAAACCTGTTGCTAACTTCAGGCCCTCACTAAAGCGCCGTAAAGCCACAACTTGTCAATGTGTATTTAAAAGGTCACTTAGTGTCATGGAAACATGTACGATAAAGGGCGTTTTAAAGGTGGGAGTAGAAAAAATCATTTAAAATTTTATCTCATATTAAAAAAATATACAAAAAATTAATCAAGAAAGGTTTTTTTTTGACAAAAATATTCTGGGAATAAAAAAAATAATGGGGGGTCAAATTTAAGCGGGATACCTTGTACATATAAATATATATTTTTTAAATTACTTACAAGTATTAATTCAACTAAAGGTGCAACTGTTGGTAATAAACCTCTAGTATTCTTCATAAATATGACAGGACTGATCACAACGATTTTTTTAAGGTATTTTTTGGCATGGTCTTTTAGTGTGGAGGAATATACTCCGGCAATACTGGTACCCATGGAATGACCAATAAAAATAATCCTATTTTGTTTGGTCGTTTGCTCGTAAATATATTCCAATATGGCAGGTAAGTCTATCATACCCATTTCATGAAAGCTTAAAATAATAAAGAAATTTAATTATTTTCATTTTCACCATCTTCAAGGTTGTGCGCGACTTAATAATAAAATAATATTACAAAATGTTTTACCTGAAATTCCAATATTTGTTGTCTCTAAGTTTGAGGAAATTGTGAAACCTCGAAAACTTGGAACCTCTTGCATTGCTAATCCAGACGTTAAATCCATTTCTCACCAAAAAATAAGCTTAAATTAAAACTGTTTAAGTTAAATTTGAGGGCAAATACGCTAATGTTTTAAGTGCACAGCTAAATCGCGCACGTTATTTGCGTTTCGCGTTGCAAGTAAAAACTAAAGAGCTTTGGTTTAGTACTCGATTTCGTTTTATTATTTCTTATGATATTATCATATGGGTGATTGTACAAAAGTTTTTGGAGAAAATTAAGCAGTATTTTTTTATGAGAACATACTGTTCCAGACCGGGCAGTCACTTTTTCAAACAGTTTCTGAAATATCTGTGTTTTCTAAATCTGAATGCAAGGGAAGTGGCGAGTATACCAGGGTACTAATTAAATACATAATTTATTGGAAAATATAAGATTTATTGCAACTTTGAGCATATTATACATTAAATATCTTAAAATCAAATAATACCAAACATCAGTGGCGGCTGGTGGATTTTGGGTATCTCAATTATTTATATGAGTTTATACACTGTATGTACTTTATATCTGTGGTGTAAAAAGTAATCTTAAAATGGTGTCAAAATCCAACACCAAGTGGTGTTAATATAACACCATGAATTATGGTTGAAAATGTGTACCGATCGCGGCAAAGGCGGTGTGGATCACGTGATGTTCTTAAATCTCGCCTCTGTTGACTTACATAAAGAATATATAAACTCAGGTAATCCTTTGCTTTGGTGTGACACTACAAGTTGTTCGATACTAAAGAGCATGGGCGGATTTAGGCATGGGCATTATGGGCTGGAGCCCTGGGCCCCGACCTATCAAGGGCCCCCTACTTGGTAAAGATTTAAAAAGTTTAAGTAATACTTTTTTGTTAGATCATTAGACTTATAACAAACTGTTAACTTAAGTTAAAAGTTTTAAATTATCTATTTACTTTGTTTAATTTTCTTTGGTTAAAGGACTTTGGTCAATGGCATTTATTTTTAAAATTTTCATTAAGCGTATTATAAAAAATGGTTAACTTTAGTTGCAAAAGGTACTGCCAAATAAATGTTATGATCTTTAAATCTTGTAATCGTGTATAGTTCGAGGTATTTTACGTGTGGTTTTTGTGTTTTTATAACTATTTATGACTTTTATTGGAATTGTAAATCCATAATGCCGGGTTGTGCCGTGGCTACATGCAAAAATACTAATTACAACAGCATTTAAAAGTAAATTTTGTTTATAAAAAGATGTCTTTTAATTAAATATAACATTTATAATAGCTACTTTATTATACAATATTCTGTTTCCAAACAAAACATTATTATGGCATAACAGATTTTAAATTTGGATTCCAACGAGACGTCAAATAGTGCGAGAGAGATAGCTCTAACATGCGCACTGAAATACCAGACTGCTATTACCAGTGTTGGTGTATCATGACATTAACCTAAGAATTGCAACTGAAATTGTAAACTTTTTTGGAGTAGTACAACAAATTTATGTTTTTTTTCTGCATCCACCCATAGGTGGGAATTTCTTTATCGCGAAACAAAACTAAATTTTTCATTAAAAAGTTTAAGTCAAACTAGATGGTCTTGTCACTATGATGCTGTTAGAGCTCTAAAAAATAATTACGGCAAGATTATGAACATTTTAAAAACGTTTAGTGACGATAAAGACAAAAAGCTTGAATATCGAAGAGAAGACCACAGTTTATATAATAAATTGGCCAAAATTGAAAATGCAATTTTAACTGTTTTTTGGGAAGAAGTTTTAGAAAGATTATATTCAGTTAACAAAAAAGTACAGACCCCAGGCTTGGACATATGTGAAGGTGAAAAATTAATAAAATCATTAGAAGTGTTTGTTCATAAAATAAGAGAAAAATCAGATGAGAAATTAAAAGAGTATGAGGAGACAGTTAAACCCAAAGCAGAAGAATTGTAAACAACAAAAATGGTCGCCATCGTATGATGTGCAGTGTTGCAGTGATTTTTAGTATTTTTACTACGAGATCGAACAGACCTTGTTGTTTGGATTGCGGTATAGGGAATGCTGTAGCATTTTATTAGAAAACATTATTTTCTATTGAATGATAAAAATGAAAATTATATGGTAGTTTCGTTTGAAATAAGAAAGTTATTGGTATTTAAAGTAAAAAAAAGCTTAGAAGCAAAAAAGTCAACGTAAATAGCAGACACCCTGTATAAAATCTTCAAATACTATTTATGGCTTTCGATAGAGTGCTCATTAGTTAACAGGTACACAAAAATATTTGATTGTTTCGACCTTTACTTGATGAAACTCCATATTATTATTATTATGTAGATATAAAAACAAATATGTTTTGAAAGTTTCACGTGTTTTATTTACTTATGACAATTGTTTCGTCACACAGTGACTTCTTCAGAATGTATTTATAACTTATTATTAAGTGAGTTTATATAACACAATGTTTTATGGTACACAAATTTTTGGTCTACCTGAATAATATTTGCTTAATACATTGAAAGAGAGTAATAATGGAAAAACCTAATTTATTGTGGTACAGTATTTTCCTGAATAATTAAAATAAATTTAATAGAGGTGAATTATTGGTTTCGATTTGATCATTTAATACAATATCAGTTTGTTTCTTTAATTTATTGATTTCCAGTGATTCTAGTAAATTTAATTTTAAGCCTTTACTTTCTACATGTAAAATTTTAAAATTATGATTAAAAGTATGGTTTTCTTGAATTAAGTGGTTGGCGTAAGCTGAATCTATTTTATTATTATTAAACGATCTCCTGTGTTCGTTGATTCTAGTTTTAAAATTCCGACCTGTTTGTCCTATATAGGTTTTGGGGCAATCAGAACATGTTAATTGGTAAACTCCTGACTTCTTATGTTTGTTAGATTTATCTTTATTATTTTTAATTAAAATACCTAAGTTATTGTTAGTGTGGTACACAAAAAATTTACTTTTTAACATTACAATTAGTGGTAATATAGACATACCTAATAGTAAGACCATTCATCTGTCAAAATTTAAAAAAAAATCTCAAAAACTGTTAAAACTAAAAACAATAATCAAATTTTATTATTTCTATAATTTTATGTATAATTTAAAATGCAATAATATTTATATTGTTCCTTTAGAAAAACCAAAGTTGATATTACTTCCGGTTTAACCGGAAGTGATAACGCATTTAAATAGTTAAAAATAGTTTACATTGCCTTATAATTGCTATACAAATTTTAAATCTATATCTTTTTCCGTATTAATATAGAAAAAGAATACTCTGATATAAAAAAGAGACAAATTATTTTAAAATTTTCTGACAAATCTGCAAATAAAGTTTCAATAAATGGAGCAGAAAAATTTAAAAGGGATACTTTGAACGTTGCATTAGATAGGTTAATTGTGGAACTAAAAAAAAGAAGTCTATCTATGAAAAGTTTTGCAAAAGATTTAAATTTTTGATGGATCTACAAGACAAGAACATTAAAAATATTGATTTGGAAAGTGCACGGAATATTGTAAATTATTATTCAGATGACATAGATGAACATTTAGTGAGTGCATTCAGTTAAAATCATATTTACAATCCAAGCCAGAATCATTCACCCCATGCGCCGATATACTAATGTAAATGTACGAAAAAAAACTTGTAGATGTTTTTCCCAATTGCTACACAATATTTAAAATATTCTTAACGTTGCCTATCACTAGCTGTGAAGCGGAGCGATCCTTCTCTAGGTTGTCTTATATAAAAACAAATATAGAACAACTATGGAAAACGAAAGATTAAATTATTTATTAATACTTTCAATTAACTCTGATTTCACTCAAAGTCTGCACTGTGATCAACAGATAAAGGAATTTGCAGAACAAAAATGCCGAAGAGTTACGCTTTAAAATTTAATGTTTTTAAAGTATTAAAAATACAAGGCACCCCGAAGAATTTTTTATGTGAACCCATATTCTTAGGCTTAGTCCATTTAACTGTATAAAGTTAGTTTTGTTTAGTAGCTATTGTTATAGGGATATATCGTTAAAAAGAAAATTTTAAACTCTAGCAAGTTGCTAGTAGCAACTAAACTTTTTATATCTATATGGCTTATTTTGAACAAAAGTATATATACATATTATGTGGCGTCTATGGTACAGAATTTATCGGGATGCCTTGTATAAATACTAGTATGTTTTAGTTATATTTCTTGTTTTTTTAATCTAAGAATTTATTTTTGTTTGTTAATAAAAGAAATGCCTTGTGTGTGTCAAAAAATTATTACTTATATAAATATATCCAAGAACAATAATTTAAAAAATGCTGGATAAATTACCCAGGATAATTATAAAAAATCTTTACGACAAAGCCCAAACTTGGATAGGCCCCCATACAAATATAGCCCAGGGCCCCCAAAGTCAGCGGTCCGCCCCTGCTAAAGAGACCTTAAATAGGTGGAAACAGCTGTCAATGAAGTATTTTAAGTTAGTGCAACGCACTAAAAACATTATCTTTAGCGAGTTGAAGGTTCCATTTTCTGGAATAATACCACTGGTAATATACTAGTAATGCGTCAAGGAGTTTTTTTTCCTTTTTTCTGTATAGTATGATTTAATTTGTCCACAAACACATAATATTTAACACTGAAAAGGAGTTCAATTTACACCAAGTAAAATTTATTTTAATACTGTGTGAAAGTTAAATTAACACCATTTTAGTATTTGAATTTACACCGGACCAACGAACCTTATTTAACACCATTTTGGTTTGTATCGATATAGACCATGTTTGGTGTTAATTTGGTGTTAAAATGGTCA